GCTTTCAAATTCGCGAGCACTGGTCTATTTTCACAGCAGGGGCGCCGAACATTTAAAACATTCAAACCTGCAGGACCAGTCAGGATGCGGACGTAGGGGCACGTACGCGGAGCTGACGGAAACCTAGACCTTTAAGCAGGTAATTAAAACTTCGTGTGCACTTGCCCCCGCGCCCCACCAACCCTGCCGATTCAGTTCTAGTTACTCATTCCACAGAGTCAGGCAGCCCAGTGCTCAAAGACGCGTGGCCGTGGTTGGCTGGACAACGTCCTCCCAAGACGTCTTCGGCTGCGTCCGCAGAGGCTGAGGGCCTGTGGCCGTGCGTGTCCATGGTGGGGAAACACAGGTCGCTGCTCAGCCGGCCTTACCTGAAGATGTCCCTGGATCCCACAGGTCGCTTTGAGGTAGGTAAGGACAGCTGGTGATTTCCTGCACAAGCCAGTCGGCGTTGGTGTGGTCGAGACTCCACCACCGTTCACCGGTGGGGACAGTGGACAGGGCCAGGGGCCGAGCAGCCTTCAGAAGCTGGAAAAAGCAAGAAAGGGGCCTCTCCCCGTGGAGGAAGGCAGCCCTGCCATCATCTGGACGGGAGACATCTGTGTTGTTTCAAGCCACAGGGTTTGTGATACTTTGTTGCAGTAACAATAGGAAAGTAACACAGTAACCAAAGATGCTCACCACGGGGCAGCTGTGACAAAAGGTGTAAGCGACATAAACGCCTGATAAAACACTGTCACGTCCACAGATTTTGGCGATTTCACCAAAGAGGGAAGCTTTTGGTGAGGGCTCGCCGACCAACTTAAAATAGAAGAGAGGAAAACAGTGAAGAAACTGCAGTTCATAAGCCCCGAGGCTTGTAATGCCCAGCAAACGTGACCCAATGCTGAGACTGCAGGGCCTCTGACTCACCCAGCCTCATTTCCTTGTTACAGTAACTCTATAAATCTTCCCCGCACTGTGCCAAACACTGGAAACTAGAGAGGAAAGAAGCTGACTGACTGGAGAGGGAGGAGGAGGAGCAAGCAAGAGAACTAGGCTAAGTGTGAGAGATGCCCAGGACCAGTCAGTCTCAAAGGAGGCGTGGGATTCGGCCAGAGAGAGAAGCAGGAGGTGTGGGGGAGGGCTGCGGGGGGGGGGGGGGGGGGGGGGCGGGGCACAGCTAACCCTGGTGAGTCAGCAGGATGTCCCGTGTTGTGGGGGCAGGGTGGGGGGCACACACGGAGAACTCTACAATGCCACACAGACTTTCACAGACTCAGCTTTTTACGTTCTCTGAACCTCAGTTTACCCCTGCCCAGCAGAGAATCATAAAACCTTCCCTGCTGGAGAGGACTGAGGCACCTGGACTGGATAAGAAGGGCCGGTGCCGGGAAGCCCCCACCCCGCCCCCCGTCCCCACCCCGGCAGCTGGAGCCACGCTGTCTCCGAAGCCCAGTGCGTGCGCTGAGGAACAACAAACATTCTGTGGTTTATTGCAATCATTTACACAGATCGGATCACTGCATTTCACACACACACAAAACAGTGGAATAAAATTGTGCTGTTCAAGTGGATTACAGGCTAGAACTCTATTAATTCACAGTTCATTACAGGCTGTGTGCCCAGTAATGGGGCAGAGATTTGCATGGGATAATAAATGTCTTATTTTCCCGTGCCTTCGCGATGCTGACCAGGAGGCCCCGTTTAGAGAGAGCATTTGTTTGAGTGCCGTGGTGGATGAGGGGCCTGAGCCAAGGCCCGCACTTGGCCCTGTGGATGCTGACTTGAGGGGGAGAGCAAACTCGTGCATCAGAATCGCATGGGGAGAGTTTTAGGACGCGCTGCACCTGGACCCCTCGCTGGCTCCTGACTGTTGGCCTGTGTGCGGCCCAGGCGCCCTAACGCGTTTCAGAGTTCTGCAGATGCTGCTGCCGTAGAGAAAGCCAGGGTCGGAAAATACGTAACTGAGAGCAGGGGCGACTGAGAAGGGAAGGACTCCTTTCAAATTTCATCAACTCATTTGCAGATATTTATGAAAATACAAAGGGTGGTGAAGAAAAAAAAAGATGCCAGGACCTGGGAGGCTGGAGTGTGTTTGCGGCTGGAGCGTGTTTGCGGCTGGAGCGTGGGGGCAGGGGGTGTGGCGGCAGGGTCCTGACCAGGCAGTTAGGACGTCCCCAGGAGGGAAGGAGACAGGACATGAGCCTCAGCCTGTGTTCGTGGTGCGGGCACTGGTCAAAGGCCACTGTGGCACCCGGCACAGGTCATCACTACAGGGTGACGTGGTCTCAGGCCGTAACCAGGGTCCATCTGCTGCTGAAACGTGGGCGTGCGCGCTGAACCCTGGGAGTCAACCTTGGGGGTCTGACCTCCGCCTGGCGCTCCCGCCCTGGCTGGGGGGACAGTGAGGAAGTGGCCACTGGGTTCCCACCCGGCCTCCCTGGCCTGCTTTTCGCGTAGCCGCACCCGGCTGCCTCATCACAGAGCCTCCTCTGGCCCTTGCAGCAGCTGAGTGGTCCCGCCTCCACGGAAGGCGGGCCCTGCTCTCCCTGCGCCATCCCTGCAGGGCCCGGGCAGACACCAGACCAGCGCCAGGCCGCCAGGTGGGGCGCAGGCCTACCCTTCAGTGAGGCCCCACTTCTGGGGCCTTTGCCACTGCCTGTTGGTCAGAGATGAAATGCCACAAAATGGGTGAGGGCCGAACAGATGGGCTCACCCAACGCTCTCGATAATCAATAGAATCCAGGCAGGCCCATCACACACCGGGGGAGCTGAGGCCCAGCGGGGTTGGGAGTGGCCTGTAGTCCTCCAGAGTGAGGAGGTTACTGAGGACCCCGGCTCCAAGGCACCGCCTCCCTCACCCAGGCGTGGCCTCAGTTTCCCCCTTCTGCTCACAGAGGAGTCCCCAACTCAGCAGCTACCCAGGCCTGCGAGCCACTTCTGGGAGGGACTGAAAACTTAAACCACCTCAGACTTAACATCATTTCCAGATAAGCTCACAGGACCCACAGCAATGGAATGCCACCCCCCTGTGTGTTCCTGAGCCCACCCCACACCCACAGCCCCCACCCAGGGGCCTGGGGCCACGGCAGACTCAGCTGGGGACCTCCAGGCCTCACGCGAGAGCCTCACGGGACTGCAGCACTCTGCCTGAAGTCCGCCGCACCAGAGCTCTCTGCACAGGGCACGCCCTGCCGCTTCTACCTGTGGCCAAGCGGAACTTGTCATGGCTGACTCTGACCTTGACCGATGGGACTGAAGTGTCTGCTTTAGTTGCCGTGGCCACGGAAACCTGTGTGCACCGTGGAGGCCGGAGCTGAGAGATGGGGACCTGCGGGCGGGAGCCCTCCTCCTTCTCTCCCTCCGTCGCCATGGAGCACCCCACGCCTGAGGCGGAGCAGGGCTGGTGGCGAACTCGAGGGCACGGTGACTCTGCTTCCCAACAGAAACAAGGGCGAGAGCGGGTTTCCAAGGTGCCCCTTGTGCCTTTGTGCCAGTGCCCCGAGAATGACGGCGTCCCCCCATCAGCCCGCCTCGGGGACCTGGGAGGGCTGTCTGCGGCCCGAGCCTGGGTGAACCCCAGCTCCGCCTGGCTTGTGTGACGCTGGGCGGAAGACACCGGGCCCCCTGACCCTTTCCCCCCACCCACAGACCAGAGCTGGCGGGCTGCCCCGGTCGGTTGAGGACTACCGGCCACTTCCTCCCTCCCTCCAGGGTGCCCTCCCAGAGCCTCTCCTGCCCCGGCCATCCCCCGGTCCCGCTGGCCGCGGCGGGAGCCAGCCTGCGGCATCTGGCCATGTCAGGAGATGCCACCAAGAAAAAAGGAAAAAGAAAAGGAACCAGGACCCTGAAGGAAAGAAGTTGACTCCACACACTCCCCACCCAGGCCAAGCTTAGCTCCAGACAGGACTGTGGCCCCGTGGGATTCGCCAGGTCCTTTGTGTTTTGGATTAGGCCGGTCTGAGCTGGTCTGAGCCGGCCATTCTGTATTCAGCTTTCCCATGAAGCAAACGCCTTCTTGACGACCGGAGGAAAAGTAATTATGACAGTCCACTGAAGCTCAGAAATAAGCAACCTTGGTTTATTTTTAAAAGATAAACATGGCTGATCTGCACTAATCATAACATCTTTTAAGGAAATAAAACAATATCAACATTTTAGTCTATAAATAAATAAAACCCCGCTTTACTTACTGGACTAGCCAATGACCAGTGGGCCGGTGCTGGTGGGTTCAAAGGTGCCGGGAGCAGCACTGGGTTCCGCCTACTCGGCGTAAACGGAGAGCGCGTCGGGCGTTTTAGGGTGCACGGGGGCGGTCAGAGCTCTCCCGGGGCTCTGCGAACCCGACCGGACCAGCTGGACAGCCCTCAGGTCCTCAGTGATGGGAGCGGCAGGGACGTGTGAGACAAGGACGCCAGCGTCGAAGGCCCTGCCGTGACAGGGGGCATCGACGGAAACCCCGTGTGCAGGCCCAGGTGCTCCCCAGCGCGTCCCCTCCTCTGGCGCAAAGGCTGCGGGGGGCCATCGTGACTCGCAGGCAGAGGCAACCCCGCCTGCGACTGAGTAGCCACGCCCGGGTCCAAAGGATGCCTTCGCGTCGTGAATACGCATCGGAAGTGCGGACTGCGGAAACGAGGTCAAGTGACGGCATGAAGGGCGTGACAGTTTATTAGTAAAACCCGTGCCGTGCCGATCACGGTGACCAGCGCACACGAGGGTGGCCTGCCCTTGGGCACCGGCTTCGCAGCTCTCCGCGTACAGAACTGTCCCAACAGGGCCGAGAACGCCAGCTCTTAGGGGAGAGTGAACACCAGCAACTCCGGCGTCCTGCCCCGCGGAATGAATTCAGCCCTCCCGCGAGTCAGCGGCGCCACAAGGCTGTCCTTACGAAAACCAAAGTCCTCTTTGACGTGGGAGCGTGAACTTGCACTCCCCGAACTCCAGTCTTCAGTTTCCGTAACACAAGCCGCGTCCGCCCCAGCCAGCGCGCACTCCCGTGAGACACTCAGACACTTCTGTGCTACCATAGCACACGTTTAGTGATTTTACTTGAAAAAAAAAAAAATCAAACCACCATGAAAATAAAGAGGCAAATAAAACCAATTTTCAAATCATTTAAAAAGCTTACGTGTCCAATACAGACCCAAACTTAAATTAAATGCTAGAATCATAATCTCCAAACTTCTGCCATAAAATTAACATTTATACGCATAGGGGTTTTGTTTATCAAACTGTATTTTGCAATCAGTAAGAGAAAGTGACTTTTTAGAGAACAGTATGTTTGGTTACACTTATCTGTAGTAGAGACTTTAAAGCCACATGATGTTAAATCTGGCTCCAAGCTTCCCAAGGTACAAAATTTTCATCAAAATGACAACACTCTGATCTGAAAAATTCAACCCACATGAGGTTACTTTCGAGAGTAAATAAATGTGCCGCGGTGGATGGACGGTTCGAACCATCACCCTCTTCTCCAAAGGTTGTGACTCGCCAGCCTCTCGAACCGACCTCTTGACTTCCCAGTCGGCACGTGGACGCCCAGAGGCCTCGGGGGCAGCGAGGGGGGCGGCGCAAGTCTCGGTCCGGAGAGTCGGCAGCTGCCGGAGCCCTGCAGAGCCGGCTCCCACACCTGGGACCGCAGGGACCCAGTCGCCTGGCACAGCGACGACAATGAACATCGAGATTGTGGCCCTTCGAGCCAGAATCTCTTTGTGCTTTTTAAATGAAGCTGCTTTGGAATCTTTTTGGTATTTATCAGCCATTTCTATTTCCCTTGTAATAATAAAAGAATATATTTAGGTGATTTGTAGCGTTCAATGTCCCGGGGGCTCACGAGTCCTTGAAAACAAGCAGTCGCTTCTTTCCTTCAGCATCTGGAATAGTAGCAAGTGTTCCTGGTCCCTCCTCAGATCGACACCAGCGTCACTGTGTAACACTGAACCTTACAGACGTCCCTGAAAAGTGCCTGATTAAGTAAACGATGAATCACAGTGGAGTCTCAATTGGTTAACAGTGTAGATCCATTTAAAAAAAAAATCACACTGAATAGGAAAAGAAAATCTTCAAGGGAAAAATAGGAAAAAAAGGGAAAAACCCTCCTACGAGTGGAACCGAGTGTGTCCCCACTGATCCAGCGTCCCCACTGGCTCGATCCTGCCTTCCCTGCGGGGGGGGGGGGGGGTGTCCGTGGGGACTGCCCACCTCCTGCCAGGACGCTAGTGGGGACAGTGATCATCACGGCAGCATCTCAGAGGCAGAGTGGCCCCCTCTGCTGCCCTAATAGACTTCACAGCCCCGGGGGAGCCCAGAGTCCCCTCTGCTGCACTCACTGTGGGATCAGGGGACAAACTCCGTGCGCCAGTGACGGCGCCCTCCTGCCTGCCCCACTGGCCTCTCACTCTTCCCGTCAGGAAAGCTGTGGTTACGTAAAGGGGGGAGGGGTGGAGAAATGAAAAACATCGAAAGGCACAAGTCGCATAGCTGCTCTGGTTGGAGTTTGTAAACAGAGAACAGGCTGAATTTAGGGAACCCCAATCTACGCGAGGAAAAAGGCATAGAGCGGGCCGGGGCCCAGCCGGCTCCTCTGAGCCCCTCCGGGGGCTCCGAGGTCTACAGAGTAGGCTCTAAAATACCCATACTTCAAAAAGCAATAAGGCAAATAGTATAATCATTATTCCAAAAGTTACAATGGTAGTGTAGGCGTACATAGTATAACTTAGTTACAATGTGTGGTGCTGTTTCTGCTACAGACCCGCATTAACTGCTTCTGCCCTACGCAATTATATATTCAGCCCCGCTCCAGTCAACACAAAACCGGCCTTGTGCCGCCACCGGGCGCTGGCCACGGCCCGCTGACAGCGGCTTCTATTCTGCTGCAGAAATTATCCTTGAACTGGGAAGTCCGCAGCCCACTGTCCAGCCACTAAACACTATCGTATTTGTGAAGGGCCTCTTCCAGCTTCTGCGTCACTTTTTGGAAAAATATTATCTGTTGCTGTAGGAAGTGCTGCATCTGTGACTTGAAGTCCCTCACTCGGATCTGGTGGAAGTGGTGGATCTCGGCCAAGGTGGCGAAGGAGATGGTGTTGCAGCGGTCCTGGATGCCGTCGGCCTTCTGCGCCTCCATCTTGCCCTCCTCCACGTGCCGCCGGCTCTCCTTCACCTTGGTCAGCGCCCCTGCAGCGGAAACAACGGCTTCAGAAAGTGGCCCGCGGCCTGGCCCCGCGGGCGCCAGGGCGGCAGGGTCAGGGCGCTAGAAACGCCTGCCGGGCTGCTCCCGAGACCTTCGGGACGGGAAGGGGGACTGCACTTACTCATCTAAACAGGAGGGAATCTGGCCAAGTTCCTTAAACCTCCGATGCTGCCGTCTCACTGACTAAAACCAGCACCTGCCATCGACCGAGTGACAGCCCTGTCTCTCTTCCAGTAGAAACACTATGGATGACAGACAATAAACTGCAGAGAACTGTCCCTAAAGAACAAACCAGGAGACCCTGCACTTCCCACGCTCTCACAGAGCAGGTCCGGCTCCACCACACACGTGCAGCGTGGGCGGAGGTCTGCGCCGTCCGTGTGGGAAGTCGCAGAACAGACTCCGCTTCACACGCCCGCCACTGCGCCTGCTCCCCGCCGCCCTGCGTGTGGGGACCCCTCTCTGTGAAAGCGACAGCCCAGAGCCTCGCCCACCTCCTCGGACGCCTCCCGGGGAAGTCAGTGCACAGGCTCCAGAGCCGGACGGAAGCAGGTCGCACCCCCCGGGGCACGCCCCTGGTCATGCAGGGCCGCCACCCCCGTGCGTGCCCCGTGCGTGCTGGAGTGATGCCCGCGTGGCTGGCTCTGACCCGAGTCCGCTGGGGGCCCACACCTGGAGGGCAGGGGCTGTGTGTGCAGTACAAAGCGCTATCCTCTCTTTAGGGAGGGGTTGTGAGTGTGCCCAGCAGTGATCTGGGAAGGAAGGCAGAGGTGCACAGCCACCTGCCAAGAAAGGTCACCAAAAAGTGCACGTGAGGGCGAGGGAAGGGGCCCTGTGAAGACACAGAAGGGGGCCAGTGTCACGGCAGGAGGCAAAGGCTGCCCACGGGTTCTTGGGAACGAGTGACGACCAGGTCCCCAGCCCCTGCCCACAGCCAGCTCCAGGGGCAGACCCCCACCTCCGTCCACTGCTCACCCTCCCACTAACAGGAGGGGAGAGGGAGACGCCCGCCTGGACACCTGGCGCGGGGTCAGAGGACCTGACCCTGGTGGGGGGGAGGAGGAGGGGGAGGGGGGCTTTGTTCCCCAATGTCCAGCTCAGCCCACGGTGAAACGTACGAGGCCGTTTCTGAATCTCTTAAAATCACCTTCAAATCTCTTCAAAATGCACAACGGAGCAAACACAGTGGCAAATAAGGTGGAAGAAAGTGTTTTAGACACAGCGGAGACCTGAGAATTCAAACCCACCGACAACACGTTACAGGTACATCTGTGTGTGTGCATTTCATCTGTATTTCCTACACGTGATCTTACGTGAGCGCCCCACTCCCACTGACCCTCACGGCGGAGACATGGGTCTGCTCCATGGAGAAGCCACGTTACTCGTGTCGACACAGCTTCAGGGGGACCCCTGACCGACTCCACGGGCAAGCCTGGCACCCGGAAAGTTTGGCGCTTTTCATATAAAGACTGACATTGAAAAGACCAGGAAAGCGTGAGACGGGACTAAAGGGAGAGTCTCCAAAGTGACGGCGGAGCACAGGAAACGCGGAGCGACTTGCTTAAGAGAGAGCATAGGGGCAACGGGGCGCGGGGAGAAGTCTCGGGGAGCAGACTGTTTCCACTGGGTCGGGGGGAGGGGCCAGGCCCACTGCCCGCACGCTGGGGAGTCAGCAGCGACCGCCCCCACGTCTGCTGCGCCGGTGGGGGCCGGTGGGGTTGCGGGCTGCGCTGGCGCTGCTCTGCAAGGACAGTGGGCCTGTGTCTGCGCCTGCCCTGCCCTGCCCTGCCCTGCCCAGTGGGGACGGGGCCCGGCACAGGGACCCAGACTGGCCCGGGGCTGTGCGAGGGTCAGCCAGGCTTCAGCGGTCAGACTCCCGTGGGGTCTCACGAGTTCTCGGACCACACGCGGCCACACAGAGCTGCGGGCCGGCCTCCACAAAAGCCAAGTCACAGGCGGACAAGGCGGAAGCCTTCACAAGCTCTCCCACCGGCACGCGCTTCAAGACTCAGGTGCAGTGGTGAGCATGAAATGGGAGGCCCGAGGACCCCCGGCACGCAGCGCCTTTAGGCTTTTCCAGTGGACACACCGAAGGGGCCAAGGGGAGTCTGAGTCTCGGTTCCCCCCGGTATGAATGTGTTCGGTCAGTAACCCGGGTGCCGCTCTCTGCAAAGGCCCCCAATTTCAGGGGCGGAGGGCCCAGGGGTCACAGAGCACACTGCCAGCACGGGACAATTCACGCATGTGAGCGTCCAAGCCCCCGCCTCCCGCAGGTCCCCAAGAAGCCCCTGCAAGTCACATGGAGGACGGGCACAGCGCCGGGACAGAGTGCAGACGGGCCCTGAAGTCAGCTGTTCCGCGGGACCACTGACCACAGAGTCCTGCCATGGGCCAGGCAGTGCAAGGATGGGGTGCGAGCGGGCGGGGCAGGCGGCGTCCAGGGCACACAGCAGCTGCCCAACAGCAAAGTGCATGCCGGGTGCAGTCCCCACACGGCCCCCAGCTCAGCCACAACTTCAGAACAGATGCGACCCCTATTTCCACAGCAAGGAAACTGCTCAATCCCTTCGGGCCTCTGAGTCACCAGGTAACCAGGTAAGAGGTGAGGCCGGGTCTAAGAGCATAATCGCCGGCAGAGCACACACGGCAAATATTTAGAAAGGAACCTGGAGTGCGAGGGGGCCAAAGGGCAGGGTGGGCCGAGCTGGGCAGGTGAGGCTTGCCCGCCGTGTGGGCGAGGTCCCACCGCGTATCTGACCGGCGTTTCAGAGCAACTCCGCACGGGCTTTGAAGTTCCCCTGGAACCTCAGCCCGTTCACTCCACCACCTGCGCCTGCGCAGCCCTTCACTGTCTATAAGGAGCCCGGTTTTCCCGTCTTTGCAGGAACACGACTGGATGCCATGAAACAGAGCGTGAAAAGCAGCAGGTGCCTCACGACCTTCCCAATCGAAGGGCGAACGGACCTGGAGGGAGGGGCGGTGCCCGCCCCCCCCCAGATGTGATGAGGATTAAGGACCACCACTGAAAACAGTAACAGTGACCCCATTATGCACACGCGGGCTTTGCTCTGTCGAGGTGGACAACCAGGCAAACGCCTTTTTGCAAACTAGGAGTGGCGGGCAGAACGAAGCCCTGAGGGGAGAGAGGACCACCCGAAAGCCAGTCCTACCTGCTCGGAAGCCCAGCCGACCCACCAGCATGGAGCACGGGGTTGGGGGGAGGGCGGGAGACTGAGTCCCGTCTTAGGGGCTCACGTGGCTGCTGGGGTGACAAGCTTGTCAGCCCAAGACAAGGAAGGGCCTACGCAGTTTGACTGGACGACTCCCCCACCGGAAATGACTAGCACGCAAGTCTGCACATCACGTACTTTCACACTGAAAGTTTCAAATATCAGGAGAAAAGCAGGAAAAGCCAAATCTTCAGTCAGGTCCGCCCTCCGAGAAGTGACAGGCTGACGAAGGAACACTCCCAGCCCCGCCGCCTGACCGCTAGGGTTCAGCCCCCACAAACGCGGCACTCCGCGGTGCCGGCCCGGCGGCCACGTGGGGAGTGAGCACCACGCGTCCTCCAGGCGTGCTCCCAGCCACGCGGCGGTGGCGCTTCTCCCCGAACCTGGAGGGTGCAGAGAAGCTGCAGCCATTGCCCAGACTCTAAAGAGCAAAGGAAACACGTTTTTTTAAAATTGTGGACTCAGCACGGAAACAGGCGTGGACGTGCACACCTTCCATTCTAAGTGGTTGATGGAGGACTCTGCCCCTGCCAGCCCCCACCTCCAAACAGCGCCTCATCGCTTTCCAGGCCAAAAAGGGGCTCAAGAGAAACCGTACAATAAACTCTACGGAAGAGGTGGCAAACACAGGCCCACAGGCCGATGGATTCCAGCCCTCGCCTTGTTTTACCCAGCGGCCTCCAGGCCCCAGGCGGAGCCCGGCCACCTTGGCCGGTGCCGCCCTCCATGCCGGGCAGAAAGGGGCAGGAGCCCCGCAAGGCTACAGGCTGGCAGAGCGCTCCATGCCATCACCCACTGGACTTCCTCCCAGGACAGAGGGTTCCCTCAGAGACCGACCACCTCAGGCCTCATCCCCGAAGGGGCAGCAGAAGGCCCGGGAAGGTCCTTCTCCTCCTGCCCCGCCCCCCACCGCCAGCTGAGCAGATGCCCACAGAGCAGGCGGGCGGCCAGCGCCTGGAGCCGCCATCCACACCTTCCTCTTGTTAGCAAGGGCCTCCCGAGAGTTTGGGGTACAAGCCTCTCCACCTTACGGACTCGCCCCAAGTCCCGCAGCCGATTCAAGGTGAAGCACTGGCTGCCCACCCACGGCTGCCAAGGGCCCGCCCTCCCTCCACTGTGCAGTTCGGGGAGGCTAGCCGGCCACCAGCCTGTCCACCGGCCTGTCGTGAACTAAACCTCCTGGACGCCACGGGCTCCTCGTCCGAGCAGGGTCCCCTTTCGTACTCACTGCGATCGCCCCGACTCCAGGAAGGCCCCAGCCCCAGCCGGCTCCACAGCAGTCCTGCCCTCCACGCCCCCACAGCCTCTCCCGTGTCTCCCAGTGGGAGCCGCCTTGCCGGGTTCAGGCCACGCGGGGCTGCCAAGGGCAAAGCACGAGAGGCCCGCCCCCGGTGCAGAGACCACGGGCGCTCATTTCAGGGGTTCGACTGCTGCCATGCGCACAGGGAAACTGCGGCTGAACAGCCCGCCCACATAACACAGCTCCTCCCTGTCACTGCCTTGTGGGCTCAGCCTCCAGGACACCCTGTCGGAGGTTGGCAGTGATCACCCGGAGGGTGGGCGCCATTTCCACACCTTCCTTCCAGAGCCTGCCCCGCGGTCACTTCCGTCCAGCCCGTGAGAACGGCCTCAGAGGCACCCCCAGGACACGGCCGGTCTTTCTGAGGAGGGTGTGGTCAAGTCCCGCTGTCGCCTGGCCCATGAGCACGGGTAGGGACCTGTGCCAGCTGATGGCACACACCAGCCAGCACTCA